CAAACCAAGCGAAGGCCATAGAGACAAGGGGTGGAAAACGGACGCAATCGCCACCGCAGCCAAACAAGGGTACTAATTCTCCTTCTACCCCTATTGTTGCTAACTTGCCTATGCAGGATGAAATCATACAGATTTCAGTTGAGGAAGAAGCTCCATCCCAGCCACGAGCGATACCAGCCGCTCGGGTGCCTGAACCGAAGGAGAAGGGTCCCGCTCAGCCCTTGGCTAGGGCTCCCTTTCCTACCAGACTTGGGAGGAAGGAAAATTCCAAGGAATTTGATAAGTCTGTGCATATTTTCCGTAGTCTTAAAGTTACTATACGGTTTTCTGATGTTTTGTCACAGATTCCACATTACGCTAAATTCATCAAAGACATCATCAATCAAAAGCGGGCATTTCCTGACGAAATGGCAGCGGTGCAGCTAGAAAGTGTGTGTAGCGCCGTATTTAAGGAGGACCTCCCAAAGAAATTAAGCAATCCTGGGAGTTTTATCATTATTTGTACTATAGGAAATTTAGAGCCGATTAGGGCATTATGTGATTTAGGAGCAAGCATCAATCTCATGCCCTTTTCATTTTTCTCTAAATTAGGGCTTTATGAGTTAGAAGCATGCAGAACTGTAATCTAACTTGCTGATAAATCAATAAGACTTTCGAAAGGAATTATCTGTGATGTACTTGTACAAGTGAACAAATTTATTTTCCCTACAGCTTTCATAATAATGGAAATGAGCGAAGATCGCGAAATTCCAATCATACTAGGGAGACCTTTCCTAGCCACCGCTCAAGCAACTATTAACGTCGCCCAAAGAGAAATAACACTGGGCTTTGGTGGTGATAGAGTCACATTTTTCATGAACAAAGCATTGCGACAACCTCAGGAAGAAAACTGTGATTTTATCAATGAGTTAAATGAATTATCAACTTTTGAGAATTGTATCACACTTGAAAATCTATAAGGAATTTCAGATAATGGATCGCTCGAGATGGAAGCTGTCGAGGACTCCAGTGGGGCAAGCGATGAAAGATCAGCTCCCACTGATTCCATTGAGGAAGCCAAGAGAGAACCAGCGAGCGATGCCTGCATAAAAGACGAGTTGAGGAAATTACCTGAGCACCTCAAGTATATGCACCTTGGCCGGAAGGAGACTTACCCGCTGATAATCTCCGCCTCACTGTTGCCGGACCAAGAGGCTCAGCTCGTCTCACTTCTCAAAAAGAGAAAAGTGGCGTTTGCATGGAAGATCACTAATATCAAAGGAATCAGCCCAGCGGTGTGCATGCACCATATTAGGCTGGACGCTGATGCAAAGCCATGCAGACAGCCTCAGCGGCGTTTTGAACGAGAATATGCCAGAAGTAGTGAAGAAAGAGGTAATCAAGTTATTCGATGCAGGAATTATTTACCCTATCAGTGACAGCCAGTGGGTCAGCCCAACCCAGGTGGTTCCCAAGAAATGAGGCTTTGTCGAACACACAAGCAACGAGGGGGAGGTCTTTATGACAAGACCTGTCACTGGATGGAAGGTATGCATCGATTACAGGAGGTTGAATGCTGCAACAAAGAAAGATCATTTCCCACTTCCGTTCCTTGATCAATGCTTGAAGAAGCTCACAGGATACGAATACTACTGTTTCCTGGATGGCTACTCAAGCTACCATCAGATTCCCATCAAGCTGGAGGACTGTGAGAATACCACGTTTACATGTCCATATGGTACTTTCGCTTATAGGAGGATGCCATTCGGGCTCTGTAACGCCCCGGCCACCTTCGAGCGATGTATGTATCATATATTTAATGATCTCCTGGACTCCTGCATAGAAGTGAAATATGATTAAACTTCAAGGAATCCAGCATGGGATTGCATTAAGCATGCTAACTATGAATCAATTTAGCAGGGAGTTGGAAATGGAAAACACTAGGGGTTTCTTATGCATCATATCTGGACAAACAACAGAGGAGGCACCTGTTTGTGATCCTAAAATTGCGACATTGTTTCAAGAGTATCAACATCTATTTGAAGTCCCTACTAGTTTATCCCATAAGAAGAGCATGGACCATAGAATTCCCACCAAGCCCAATGTAGGACCTATTAAGCAACAGGCTTATAGGTATCATATGCTTCAAATGAGGGAGATTGAAAAATTGGTGGATGAGATGTTGCATACAGGGGTTATTAGACCCAGTAGCAGCCCCTATTCCTTACCTATGCTGTTAGTTAAAAAGAAAGATGGCTCATGGATGTTTTGCATTGATTATAGGAAACTCAATGCAGCTACAATTAAAGATAGCTATCATATTCCCTTGGTATATGATTTATTGGATGAGCTAGGGGGAGCAACTATCTTCTCAAAGATAGACCTAAGGCCTGGATACCATCAAATTAGAATGCATGAAGAGGATATCCCAAAAATAACATTTGTAAATGCCTTCGGGCTATATGAGTTTGTTGTGATGCCTTTTGGCGTCACAAATGCACCAACTACTTTTCAAGCAGTCATGAATTAGATTTTTAAGTCCCACTTGAGAGATTTCATCCTAGTTTTCTTTGATGATATACTTATCTATAGTTTGAACATGGTAGAATACTTGAAACATTTGAGGATAGTGTTTAATATTCTATCTCAACATACTTTATTTGCAAAAACGTCAAAGTGCAATTTTGGAAGAAGAGAGGTAGAGTATTTAGGGCATATAATTGGGAGTGGAAAAGTGCGAATGGATAAGTCTAAGGTTCAAGCAATGCTAGACTAGCCGACCCCATCTAATGTTAAGGCTTTAAGAGGATTCTTAGGCTTCATGGAATACTACAGAAATTCATTCAACATTGTGGAACAATTGCTAAGGCCTTAACTGATCTTACAAAAAAAGGAAAGTTTGTGTGGTCTCCAGAGGCTGAGGCTGCCTTCCAAATTCTTAAGAATGCTGACTACAGCTCCTGTTTTGGCCTTACCTGATTTCACTAAACCTTTTATTGTTGAGACTGGTGCATCTTACAAGGGCTTAGGAGTTGTTCTCATGCAGGGCCAACACCCTTTGGCTTTCCTAACCAAGGGTTTAGGCCCTAGAAGTTTGGGGTTATCAATATATAAGAAGGAATTTTTAGCTATTATATTGGTTGTAGAGAAATTGAGGTCTTATTTGCTTCACACCCCATTCATTATTCGAACATATCAGAGAAGCTTAAGGTACTTGTTAGAACAAAAAATCTCAACACCATTGCAGCATAAATATTTGACCAAACTCATGGGGTTTGATTACAGTATTGAACATAAAAAAGAGACTGAAAACAGAGTGGTTGATGCATTTTCTAGATTTCACCCTTCAAATGAGGAATTTGTGGAAGGGAAATTGTGAACAGCTATGGCTCTGATATGTTCCTCCATAATATAATAGTTGAGGTGGCTATCTTACCCTATAATATGTCTTTGTACAACTATCATGAAGGACTATTGTTCAAGAGATCTAAGGAATCAGATCCTACATCAATTCCACAACTCTAGTGTTGGTGGTCATTCGGGCATTAATGCCGCATTTCAGATGGTGTCCAGTGTTCTTTGGTGGCTAGGGATAAGGCAACATGTACAAACTTTTGTTGTTTCTTGTTAGATGTGCCAAGTGAGCAAATATGAGAATGTGTATAATCCAAGGTTGTTGCAACCCCTACCAATTCCGGACCAGGCTTGAACTCATATCTCTATGGATTTTATTGAGCAATTACCTAAATCAGGCAACAAAGACAACATCCGGGTGATTGTTGACAGATTCACCAAATATGCTCATTTCATTGTCATTGCTCACCCATTTACAGTATCTAGTCTTGCTCAATTGTTCCTACAGTCAATCTACAAATTACATGGCTTACATCACAGTGTTATTTCTGACAGAGATAAAGTATTCACTAGTCAATTTTGGCAATAGTTGTTTAAGGTGTTGGGGATTGAGCTGGGATTAAGCACGGTCTACCATCCACAAACTGATGTATGTGTAGTGCTAATCCTAAGTAGTGGTTCAACTAGCTCTCAATGGCAGAATTATAGTACAATACTTCCTATCACACCTCACTAGGTACGATTCCACTTCATGCATTATATGGTTTCCATCATACACTATGATTTTCTAGCCTTATACCTTACACCAATGTGGAAGGGGTTCAAAAGTTGGTCTCCAATCGACAACAAGTCCAACACCTACTTAAACAAGCTCCATTGGCAGCTCCATCTCGTATGAAGTATTATGTAGATTCTCATCGTCGTGAATGCGTATTTAAAGAAGAATAGTGGGTTTACCTCAAGCTCAAGCCTTATCGCTAACTTTCACTTTCATTCCAAGGATGTCTGGAAGTTAAGTCCCAAGTATGTTGGCCCGTTCAAGATTTTAGCACGTGTTGGTCCTGTTGCCTATCGCTTGGAGTTGCCAACGTCTGTTCGCATCCACCCAATTTTCCATATTTTTCTTCTGAAGAAACATGTCGGCCCTCTGTCTACTGTCATTGTCTCCTTGCCTTCTTTTGATGACGATGGAAAAATTATGCCGCAACTAGTAAAAAGTTTGCCCGTCATCTAGTCAAGCGAAGATCCTCATCGGTGACCCAACTCTCGATTCAATGGGCTCACTTTCCTGAAGAAAAAGCCACATGGGAATTCTTTGAGGATTTCAATATCTGCTTCCCTAATTTTGCAACTTGAGGACGAGTCTTTTGAAGGGAGAAGTATTGACATAAAGAATGAGAAGAAGTGGAAATATTAATAAAAGTGTAAACTATGTAAAAACATTTTTCCTAATTTTGCAATTTAGGCTGTACTTGACCGGAGACGCATCTACACAATTTTATTAATATTCGTGAAAAAAAAATAAATGGAAATCCAACCGTTATAAGTTTGATTTGGTTGTTCGGTTCCGGTCTGAACCGGAAACGCCGGTTTGAAAACCCCGAGCCGCCTGTGCCGGTTCGAAACCATTGGCAAGTCTGGATGTATAGATACGAGATAGATAAACAGCCCGCGAATATCGGCTCATAGAATAGGGTTCCCCGACAGATTTATTAATTTCGATGGTCAGCGTCCGGGTTCCCCCCTCATCCTTGTTCGGTGTGAAGCCATTCAATGGCAGATCTTCAAGGGCCGTATTGGCTGCATCCCGCTCCAGGTTTACTTCTTCATCTACCCTCTACACACACCTGCAATTACTTCTATATAAAATGCATTTGGATTGATTGTGTCGAAATTTTGCCTACTCTTTTGCTTGATTGGATTGCTTGCTGCTCATTCTCCGACAGCCTACTAAACACTAGAGCATTTCGGGGGTTTGGAATCGTATGCGATTATTCCTGTTTCGAAGTAAGATCGAAGTTTCCTATTGTTGTTGTTTGTTTTCCTTTCTGCGCGTCTCAAGTGCCATTTGATTTTCTGTTCCATTGCTTGATGCCGTTAGATTGCTTTTATTCAGTCAAAGCTTGGCTTGGATAAATGGTGTGCTAGTTGAATTTTTTTTTAAGGAAATTGTACAATCCCTCTCTTCTTTTGAACTGTTTGGACTGAATTGGAATGCAGAAACTATAGCAGCTCCAACTCCTATGAAAGATACTGCCCAATCCTGCGTGGTTTGAGTAGCTAGTATCCTTATTGAATCCTTCAAGAGCATTTGATCCCTGCATTTTGAGGAGGGGGCCGAGTCCCGTATGATATGTTGTTTCTCGTCCTCAGAATAATATAATTGGAAGTTGATGTGTGGTCATATGTAACTGCAAATAGGTTCTTCTGATCTTGAAATAGCATGCTGTTTCTTTATATATATATCAGTTGCTGAAAATGCTTTGGCGTGGAAACAAACACGGATTGAGTTGATTTTATTGAATTGAGTTGTCTGACTTTGTGGAATGAGTTATGCTTCCACTTCCAGTGATCTAGCATCTGGTTCAAGTTTTGGTTCAACTGGTTCACGTTGTGCTACTTTTCTGATCAAGTTCATTCACAGATAATGCCTGCTATTAAATTCTCAATACATACTTGAGTTGTCTGTTTTCCATTTTTTCAGTCTTCTGCTGATATTAGTAGACTATTTGTTGGATATCATGGAAGATGTCATTTTGTTCTCTCTCTAAAATCTATGTATATACATATCAGATAAAAAATGTCAGCTATCGACCTCCTGGAACTGAGATTGATCTTTTGAAAGAAATTAGCTTCTCTCTTCCAGAGAAAAGGTACCTCTTCACTTGTGACTCTGGACCTTCATTATATATTTGGTTTACTTGCTTTCTGTTCAGGAGAATCGGGGAGTGTGAGGTTAGGTTACTTAGCATACAATCAACACAATTTTTTTATCTACTGACAGTGTTCCATCTTTAGAGTGGTTATGCCTACATGGTTCTACAGTGAATCTGTAGGTTGAGGATAAAATGTTGTCGGTGATTATTTATAAAGATTTAAGTTTCAACCTCTCCACAAAATCAATTATATATGTTTGATTCATAACAATAATGCTTCTAGTTTTCAAACTGAATGGTTAGCAGGGTGAATGCATCAATTTAAGCTATTCTGGCTTGCTCAATATATGTAAAAGTTAGTAGATAACTGTAAAAGGACTAAAACATGCATGTTTTCCATTCCTATAGTCTTGGACTGATCTTTGGACAAAGTGGATGCGGAAAAACTACTCTTTTACAGGTTCACTCTTAACTCGTAACCTCTATTTTTCTCAATCGAACACGTTTATTTATTGGTTTTCTCTGTGATTGTTCATATTCTGCTAACATCACTGCCTTTTGACCAATAGCTGATTGCAGGGTTAAGCAAACCAACATCTGGCTCTATCTACATTCAAAGATATAGTAATGATGATAATCCAAACCAGCCTATGGAACTTTTGCACCCCAGGAGAGTTGGTATTGTTTTCCAATTTCCAGAAAGGTATTAAATCACCTGCAATAAATGTGTGAGAAAAGAAAGCATTAGTTGGGGTTCAGCCATCCTCCCATTTCGGTAGAAAAGCTTTGAATGCTTTGTGAATATTATAACATTATCTTTCACATTTGAAAACCTGACTACTGATGCTCTCCCTTTAATGGGGAGGGTCAGGGTGTTAGCTCGTTTGCAATTGCCTGCACTTTCATTCCTTTTCCTTTTTAGAGAGTTGCACCCTCCTTGTATACTTGAAAATTCTTTTGCCACTCTTCCGCGAAGCTGTGAGGGAAATTCCATTCTTTGTATGAAAGAAAATGCATATAATAGAGCTAAATTGAAAAATTAAAAGTAGGATAAGGTACACGCTGTACCTCAAACTTCTACAACATTCATTTTACTCAATGCCTTATTTAGTTATTAGTCCCGATAAGATAAAAAACATAATTTGTAGTAATTTGATTGATGTAGAGCATTCATTTATCTTTTATTGTTTTATTTTTCCTCCATTTCTGCTATGTTGTTTTCATGAATGTGTCCGCCTTAGATTTTTCTGTTGTATATTTTGGTTGTGCCTTCTCTGGAAATGTATAGGTACTTTGTTGCAGACAATGTTCTTGATGAAATAATATTTGGGTGGCCAAGACAAAAGAGTGGCGTGCAATTGAGAGAGGTTCTTGCTACGAGGCTCCACAAAGCTATGACATCGGTATTGAATTTAAAAAAGAGTGAAAAAACATATTGAACATCTATGATTGTTCTGATATATAATCATTCCCCATTCTTTCCTTCAATGAATTCATGAACAATATTTTCCAATGCATATCAAAACTAGGTTGGTCTAACTGGAATTGCCTTGGATAAAGATCCCCAATCTTTGAGTGGTGGATATAAACGCCGGCTTGCCCTAGCAATTCAGTTAGTAAGACTCTCTCTCTCTCACACCACACACATGACCATGGCATTTTATGTTAGTCCAGATGTTAGAAAAATATGTTTGCCTTATCCTTGAAAGCAGGGTGACCATTTGGCCACTTGAAAACACAACCCACTTGCTGTTTTAAACCATGTAAGTTTTATTCTCTGGTCACAGGTGCAGACTCCTGACCTGTTAATATTGGATGAGCCTCTTGCTGGTCTAGGTATGATCCTATTTTATCTACATCTCAGTTTGTTTAATTGGAATCAGTAGACTACACTGCATGTTAGTGGCAATGAGGTTGAAAAAGATATGCATTACAATACTTTTCAGTTGGAGCATATTAGTGTGGGGAAACCCTCCTTTCAGTAATTTGAATTTACTTTAGACGATTCCAAGGAGAAAATACAATAGGTGAATTATGGGGAAGATGAGCTATTTATTGTTATTTAATGGCTTAGCATAGGCACTGTTGTCACGGCGATGCCATGGCGTCCCGGTGCTTTTTGGGGAGCATCGGGGTTCACCGCCTCTCCTTATTACATAAGGCGGCATGGCGACGCCATGGCGGGCGCCATGGCTACGCCACGACAATGCCGTGATGTGTCCATCTAAAATCTAAAACCAGCCCAATCCAATTAGTATTAACCCAGTTCCAACCCAGACTTACCACACGAGTTAGGACCAGTCTAGAATCGTAAACCGTTTCCATCGATCGACTATCAACCATAATGCATGGATCCTATATAGTTGATTCAAATTACTTTTATGTTGGTCTTCTATACCCCAAGGTAAAATATGTGAATAGCACAAATGATTAAATCAGTGTTTAAACTAATTATTTAAAACTTATTTAACATTCTTTTTAACCCTATTTAATTGCATACTGGATAATGTTTTTAACGTTGTTGACTTATGCTGGCTTAAAAATATAACTTTTATTTCCCTCTATTTCTCAACATGGTATCAGAGCCAACTAGGGTTTAGGTAAAGTTAGGGCAAACTTCGATCTGAATGAGCAAAAGTTGATGCCTAATTATGTGCCTTACTGTGGAGTTCCTTGGATCCAACCATACTTCCTACGTATCAGTCATTTGAGACATGTTATGAAGTTTGGAATAAGGCTGCTTCCATTTACAACAATGATATTCATCGCTACTATGATATAGTCTCCAGTCTCGTCTTATTTAAAGATAACACGCTTGATATTCCCACTTATGTGAGTAAACTGGAAGTTATTTGACAGAAGTTTCGTTCCCTAATTTCTGCCGGTTCTGCAAATCCAGAGGCTGTTTGGGACAAATTCTTTGCCGTATTAGCGCTTGTTCACCTTACGCCTGAACTTGATCATGTTCGAGACCGGATACTGGGAGGTGCCACTATACCCACGCTGGACGATGTTCTTGTTCGACTAGTACGACTCTCCTCTAACAGCAACACCATTGTGGCTACCCCATCTACTAGTACTCCTGATAGTTCAGCCTTGTGTCTCAAAATCCTAGCTCCGGTAATCGTGATAAAAATCGTGGTGGGCGAGGAAGTCAAGATTGTAGTGGACGTCGTCCACAATGTAGTTATTGTTACAAGATGGGCCATACACGAGAACGTTGCTTCAAATTAAATAGGCAACCCCCTCGCTCGACAAATGCTGTTACTACTGATTCTCCTGGAAATTCATCTGATCGTATTACCTTACGTGGAGCAGATTATGCTGCATTCCTTCAGTATCAAGCATCTCAACAGTCATCCTCCATCAGTGTTGCCGACTCACTTGATATCCATACTCCCGTCATTGGTAGTCTCTCAGACTTCTCTTGGTCCATTGGTCTTAGATTCAGGTGCAACTGATCATGTATATGGTAATCCCTCTTTATTTTCTACCTTTCATCCATCAAATTCACTAACTCATGTGACTCTTGCTAATGGTGATAAAGCTTACCCTTAAGCTGTTGGTAGAGCCTGCCCGTCACCTAATTTACCTCTTCATTTTTGTTCTTTATGTCCTTCAAAGTCCATCTAATCTCATATGTATTAGTCGTCTCATTAGAGATCTAGATTGTTTAATCTTACTAACTAGTGATTCTCTTGTTATTCAGGATTGCAGCACGGGATGGACGATTAGTACCGGATGTGAGTCTCATAGGCTATATTGCCTAAACGAGTCCCCTCGCAATACCTTTACCATTGCTATATCATTTATTGAGTCTCTTGAATTGTTCCATCGACGATTAGGTCATCCCAATCTGTCTAAATTAAAGTGTCTTTTTTCTAATTTTTGGCATTATGTTCGTTACCATGTGAGTTTAGGAAGCAGTCTCGTACTTCCTTTCCCAAGCTCGTCGATAGTCGAGCATCTGAGCCCTTTGCACTGGTTCACTCTGATATTTAGGGGCCTTGTCGTATTAGTCAACCCTTGGTTTTCAATATTTTGTAACGTTTATTGATGATTTTTCTCGATGTACTTGGGTTTATTTAATGAAAAATCGATTTGAATTACTCTCTATATTCAAAAAGTTTTGTGTTGAAATTTGTACACAATTTCATAAATCTATCAAGGTTTTTAAGAAGTGATAATGGTAGAGAGTATTTTTCTTACTCATTTAGTGATCTTGTCTCATATGAAGGAATTATTCATCAATCATCGTGTTCTTCTACACCCCAACAAAATGGAATGGCGGAGCGCAAGAACCATCATCTAATAGAAATAGCTCGAACTCTCCTCATACATTATAATGTCCCATTTCCTTTTTGGGCTAATTCTATTCTAACAACATGTTTCCTCATCTTAGTACATAAGATTCACATAACATGTTTTCAGCCTAATGTGTCCCTGTACCTTTACCTCTCCGTGAATTTGGTTGTACGTGCTTTGTTCATAACCATTCCCTTGGATTGGACAAATTACGTCCTCAATTCATTAAATGTGTTTTCCTTAGGTACTCTCGAGTTCAAAAAGGATATAGATATTATTCTCCTTACTCTTCAATATTACCTTAGTGCAGATGTCACGTTCTTTGAGTCATCGCCATACTTTACAGTGTCATCATCGCCATCCTCAATACCTGTGACTCCTCTTCCCGTTGTCCCCATTCCTAAGCCTCCACTTCAAGTCTATAGGCGCCATACATGGCAGCGTCAGTACATACCTACTCCACCATCACCTGCGCCTATTGATGACTCATCTCTGGTTCCATCGCCTTCCTCGGTTGCGACTCCTCAGTCACCTGTCGTCCCACATCCAGGTACACGGTCCACTCGTAATCCAAATCCTATTTATAATTTTCTTAGCTATCACCGTTTATCTTTTTCCATGTGCAGTGTTGTGACTGCTTTAGACTATTATTGCTCCTTGCTTTTGGCGTGAGGCTTTGGGTCATTCAGAGTGGTGTCAGGCTATGATGGAGAAAATGTGTGCTTTGCATGCTAACAATACTTGGGAGTTGGTTTTGTTACTGCTAGGAAAGACACCTATAGCTTGCCGCTGGGTTTATGCAATCAAAGTTGGTCCTGATGGTCGCATTGATCGCTTAAAGCTCGACTTGTTGGAAAGGGCTTTACTCAAGTGTATGGAGAGGATTATACAAAAACCTTCTCTCCCGTTGCCAAAATGTCTTTTGTTCGTCTTTTTCTTTCAATGGCAGCAATGCGTGGTTGGCTCATTCATCAACTTGATTTTAAAAATGCCTTTTTTGCATGGTGAGCTTAAAGAAAAGGTATATATGGAGCAACCTCCTGATTTTGTTGCTCAGGGGGAGTTTGATCTTGTATGTTGTCTTCGTCATTCACTCTATGGCTTGAAACAGTCTCCACGGGTGTGGTTTAGACGTTTCAGTCTTGCTATTAAAGAATTTGGTATGACAGAATGTTCGTCTGATCATACAGTAAATATAATTTAGAAGGGCGATGCGTTTACTTACTTGTTTATGTTGATATTGTCATCACTGTAGATGATATGGATGGTATTACAAAGTTAAAGAAGCATTTACACAATCATTTCTAAACCAAAGACTTGGGACCACTACGGTACTTCTTAGGGATTGAGATTGCCCAATAGAAGAATGGTGTTATCCTATTTCAGATAAAGTATGTTTTTGATATGTTAGAAGAAACAAGTATGAATGAATGTAAGGTTGTGGATTCTCCTATGGATCCAAATACAAAATTGCTTCTAGGACAGGGGGAGCCATTGACTGATAATGATGTTGGACGATATAAAAGGCTGGTTGGAAAACTTAATTATCTCACTATCATCTGACCAAATATATCATTTGCAGTAAGTGTAGTGAGTCAATTCATGCAGTCTCCATGTGACTCTCATTGGAAGGCATTTATGTTTATTTTGCGGTATATTAGAGGGTTTCTCGAAAAAGGATTACTTTATACAAATCATGGTCATTCTGAAATCGTTGGATATTCAAATGTTGATTTGGCGGAGTCTCCAATCGATAGGCGTTTTACCTCTGGTTATTGCGTATTTATTGGAGGCAATTTGATATCTTGGAAAAGTAAGAAATAAGATGTGGTTGCGCGCTCTAGTGCTGAGCTGATCATCGTGCTATGGCTTTAGCTGCATGTGAGCTTCTCTGAATTAAACAATTACTTTGTGAACTTAAGTTCTGTGATGTGACGAAGATGAAGTTATGGTGTGATAACCAAGCAGCACTACACATTGCATCAAATCCAGTATTTTTTGAACGAACGAAGCATATCGAAATAGATTGTCACTTCATTAGAGAGAAAGTATTATCTGGATATATAGATACTAAATATGTGCCTTCAGATGATCAACTTGCAAACATATTTACGAAAGCTCTGAGAGGTCCTCGATCCAAGTCTATCCGCAACAAGCTTGGATCTAATGATTTGTACACTCCACCTTGAGGAAAGTGTTAGATTTATTAAAATTATATCCATATCCATAGCTTATCCATATCTATGATTTAGTTAATTATGATAGATTTTCTAATTTGCTATATATATGTACTCTTCTTTTTCTTTTTTTGGAATAATGTAACTTTATTTTTCCTCTATTTCTTTGCAATTATGATGTAACTTGCCCAGTCCCAAGCCATAGCTGTCAAACTCTGATCCTAAATCCTAACAACTACTAAGCCTAAACTCCTCCTGCCAAGCATAGAAAATTTTTAATTGCAGCCTTTTTCATCGCACTAACTTATTACTATATCAATCAAGTGTTCATGCAAGATTTTTAGTTCATATTTTTGTGGTAATTTTATAGAAAACATTTCTTTTTGAATGGAAAATTAGTTGGTTTGAATTCTCCTGGCTAAATTTTTTTTGTATTGTCTTCTTCAGTATTTTCCACTGCCTCCCATTTTGCTCAACTCACTTTCCTTTAGTGAGTTCAGCCACCTGTTCTTGCAAGTGAATTCTTAACATAAATTTTGTCAATATCATGTTCCCAACTGTATTCAGGCATGGAAATTCTATACAGAACTCATCTTTGCCTTCAATTCCAATGTTACCCCATCATCCTAGACTTAGTTTGACATCCAGTGGTGTTGATAGTGGCTTGTGTAGTCGCCAGAAATGTTGTCCCCACAATGAGATGTAGGTTCCAATCTTCCTCATTATCTATCGCCACAAATCAATGAAAAATGAATTGATTCACTTTTCACAGTGCCATTTCAACTAAGCAATTATATTTGCCAATTGCCTCATGGTTATGCTTTGTTACAAACTGAGAAAACCATTTGCTGAAAAACCGAGTATGATGTAAGATTTATGTTGGGCCTGAAGCCATAGAGTGCTTTCTTGGCTCTAAATTTCATGGAATGGTGAAGCTTCTGAGTTCTGTGTGTTAGGATTAACTCTCACACACGCACACAAACAAGAAAGTGGAACACAAAGGATTACATGGTTCGGTCAATGAGGGTTATCAACCTACGTCCTCGGGGGCAACCAAGAAGCTTTTCTTATTACTTTAGTTGAGGCGGCTCAATTTACAAGTACAAGAGATAGGTATTTATAGAATAGGTTAGGATTAATAGCAATTGGGCCCAAACTCCTAAGCCCATTACGATTAATTACCTAAAGAAGCCTACACTTTAACGCCGTGGACCTTTTGGAAGCTTGTCTTCGGACTCGATGTTGGGATTTTATTTTTCCAGTTAAAATGTATGATTTCTGCACTTCTATTTGGCTTACTGATTTTCATTTCAATTACTTCTTTAGATTGGAAGGCCCGTGCAGATGTTGTTAAGCTTTTGAAAGACCTGAAGAAAGAACTAACATTGCTTGTTGTGAGCCATGATCTTAAGTAAGTTCACAACTGCCTGTGTTAATTGTTTCTTAGTTTTTTCATTCTCCAGGAAAGATCACTTTTTATAACAGAATAGCTATCATCATCTATCAATGTTTTGGAAGAGTCATGTCTTCTCTATTCTGTTGATTTTCAGAAATGATGTTGCAACTGGTGGCTTTTACTTTTTGCAAGAAACTCAATGAGCATCACCATTGTCATTACCTTTCTATGCAACAGTTGGCTTCCTCTCCTTCAATTGTGTCGCTCTTGATCTAAAAAATTGAGTTGTTATGACCTTGTATGCATCAAACTATGTTTTCACTTTGTGTTCTCTAGTCAGTTAACCTGGGGGTGGCAGGAACTCCTAATAAGGGGATTTGGATAGTGTATGAAATTTTGTTTTCTCATGTTTTTTGAACTGTTTTGTTTGCCTCATTGATCATTTGTAGTGATTCTTAAGTTGTCATTGTTAATAAAAAAATTAGTAGCAGCCATCATTGTTCTCCTTTAAAATTCAAATTGCCAAGATGGAAGGTATTTTTACCAAGGAAGTGTTCGTTTACCATACACATAAATGTCGAAACTCCCTTTGTCTCAAAATTGATGCTTCCTGTGTATTGATATATTTGTGCATGCTATGTTGGAGTTATGCTGACATGAACTATGTTTGCATCTTCAGTGAATTGGCTCCCCTTGTAGACCGGTCTTGGAGGATGGAAATGGATGGAGTATTGAAAGATGAGCACCTTCCTGTTTGATTTTGCAACTTTAATAACCTAGTCAACTAATCACGCTGCAGATTGTGGTAAAGATATTTAATTTCAATTTGCCATCTATTCTGCTCCCTGGTAGAATTATGTATACTAGAAAAGTTTTTGAATTGTACTAAGTACATATACCTCATCAAATAAAGTAATATTTATATAAGGTTTGCTTCTTGATGATTTTCTAACAATAGAGGAGCCAATTTGAGGCACAGCCACGAACGTAACAAATGCATTCAGAAACTCTCAAGGATATGCTAGGTTGTAGATGCATGCAATACAATAAACAGCACACAAACATGTAATACATTTAACAGGAACAAGATTGGCAGTGCACTACATTGTATCTGACTTTCCAATACTGAAATTCACTTAGGGACCAGTAATATAATACTGCATTGCAAATAACCACTCCACACCTCACTTTAAAGCTCACCGGATGGGTTAATAGGAGAGGTTTTATTTATGTTCCCTAGAATTATACATTTCACACATCACCATTTACTCACAAACATACATTCTTGAGAAAACTCCACACTGGTGCTGAAATAGGGGAGAAGATGCTTACCTTAACTTTTATTGTTTTTGCCCCTATAACTCCAAGACCAAGTCTACAGTGTAGGTCCCCAAAATATTACCAAAAGAAACAAAGAGTTAGAGAAATATACATTGTTAGAATGGATGAACTCAGATGCATGCATATGAGCTTCAACTTACAATCAGAATCTGTTTTAATCCAGTGCTCTCCGTTGATTGTTGAAGCATCTTTGCAGATACCGTTTGGAGATAGCTTCATGGTTTGCTTCTGATTTATTATCCTGTTTTTCTGAAGAACCAGATTGTTTTCATCATTTTCTCTGGTCTGACAGGAATCCTTGTGGCCATTGTTTTTCTTGTTACCCTTTTGCAGCTTAGCAGTATGTTCCTGAGTCATTTCTTCAGGGTGAACTTTCTTGTGTAGCATTTTTAGAGCCTGCATCCTCCACAGACAGAAAACTGCAACTTGAGATGCCATAAAAAATATCATTCAGAGAATGTTTATGCAGCCAATGCTATTGGTTAAGTAGGCCTCAAGGTATTCCAAAGTAGGTGGGACAAATTTGGCCTCATTTGGGGCTAGTAGGGTTTGAAATATTCCAACTAAAATACTGAGCTAATTCTTAAAGAGCAAATTATGTGCCTTTGGTTTGCACCCAATATTTTCCTGAAAGTAGGCTAAATTTCATGATGTCTCTCATTAAGGGATATAGGGGCTGCATCTTCAATGGAAATCGTTTGAATAATAACAAATGATAGAGTTATTTATCAAACAAGTATAAAATTCTAGGGTTTGTACTTTTATTTAGTTAGCAGTTTTCTTCTATTTACTATTTTAAGAAACAATTATCACTACTATTTGCAATGAAGTTGATGCTTTCAGGAATGTGTAAGACTAGTTTATGTAGGCAGCTCTTAGCTAAGTCAGTAATAGAAAACTGACCTTGGAGAGCTTTTTCTTTATGGAAATGGATGCAGCAGCATCATTCTTAGAAGGGACCATAGAGTTACTTGATGAGGAGCAAAACTTCCTCAACAACTTTTTCACAAAAATTGCTGCATTTTTTTTCCTTGGATGTTGTTCAGCTCCATAAATCTCTTTATGATTATCAGTGACTGTGCTATTCCTCCTAAAGAGCTCTTCAAGGGATACTTTTTCTTTTTTCATCTCTTTTTCTGCCTCAATCAATCCAGTTGCATTGGCAAAGAGATAGTTTTGAAGAGGAAAATCTGCAATGTGGATTTGTCCTTCAGAATCTGCTCTCTCAAGTGGCTTATTGTTGAGATTTGTTAAGCCTGCTTGACTGTTCCTTGCAGATATGTCATTTGCAATCTCCTCCTCAGCTTCAAGAAACTTTTCAAGCTCATGGCTTATTAGCTTGAGATCATTTTCTGTTATCTCTGTCTGATTATTACTCATCTTTTCATAGGGCATTGCAAGTGTTGGTGTTGGGGGGTCTGCACTGGGTAGCTCCATACCAAATGTGCCAATTGAAAGAAAGTCAAACAGGTCCAATGATTCTTCTTGGTAGGGCAATTCCACACTATCGACCTCAAAGCTGTTTGAAGCTTTTAGGCATTTGATGTATGTGCTAGGCTCAACACAGTGCTCATCAAACAATGATTTATCTGATAAGCAGGCAGAAGTGTTTCATGCAATCCGCACAGAAAATCTATATACAATAGCAAAAGAAGCTTTCTGTTGAATTGGTATCATATTTTGAGAGAGATACCAAGCTACCGATATTTCATCCAAACTAATTTTATCTAGAACTCAACTTTCTGTAAACTTGTATATATGTATTAAGAGATCAATTCTAAGTCATTGTATTTATATCATGTATGAAAAAATAACAAATGTTATCCTTCTCAGAGACTGCAAAGTGGGAAGAAGGGCGTTGAGGAAAGAATAACTGATGTACATTTGAATTTGACCAAAGAAAAAACCATGAGGTTCAATGAAAATATACCTATTGTGGAGTTCTTCATTCTCTCTATGTTATTATGCATCAACTTATGATGCATCCAACTTAGGAACTGCAACAGAAAACAAGTTTTTAAAAAAAGAAAAGAAAAAAGCTGTATTATAAAGCTTGTCATTTCCAGATGAATTTGGACTGACCTTCATCCTAATTTCCTGTAAAAGCTGGATCAAGTGACTATCAGATAATGATGTTTCAATGCTGAGAGGGTATTAAATAAGGAAACCAGTCTTTAATGGGGATGGTTAAAGGTTTAATGTGCAGGGAGGAGTGGGTGCCCATTTGTCGTTTTGTTCACAAATGGGAAGCCTGGGGTTCCTATACCCAGGGGTTCTTATTAGGGCCTGTGATGATATTGAACAGAGAAAAACATTTACAAAAGTACAAGACTATGGTTGGACAACCTCTGTTGAAATTGTGTCAGTTGAGCGGGCTTGAGACCCACATGTTGATAATTGTATACATGTCATGACCAGATATGATATTTAGGAATTAGGAGTGGTGGTATTGTACCTAATATCTTGCATTTAACCAGTAATGACTCATGTGATTGTCTTGTTATTGTGTTTATTCTTCTCAACTGATGATTACTATCATGTGTTTTGTTATTCTACTGCAGTGACTTGTGAGATGTTTCATGATTTTAATGGGATCTGTAATGGGGCAATACTTGCTGCTAAAAGGTATGTGCTGTTAGCAATTGGTAGGTCTATTGATTAGATTCATACAGCGCTTTTAGATGTTTTTTCATAGATAGTTAGACTTCATGCCACGTGCATGGTGCCCGCTAGCCCGGCAATCTTACTTGTTCATTATCTACATAATGATATTCCTTGATCAGCTAGTTATAATCTTCATATCTAATTGTTTTATATTTTGTGTCTTAAAATGACCAGATGTATAGTGGACCCTGTTTGTGTTCTTTTCTCTTTGGCTTAGAAAAGAATCCTTTCTGCTCTATTTTATTTTATTTTTTTATAAGATTGTTGTTCTTGTATTCTTTGTGGTCAATCTGATCTAAACACCCAGCTCAGTGACATTGTAACAAAGTAGACGCAATCGATCTAGGAAATGCTATGTCTTTATGGATTCTGAAATATCCTACGGCACTTTACTTAGATGACAATTCAAACTAACTGTTTTTTTTTATTATTATTATTTTTATTTTTTGCAGAATGGAATAAGATATCTTACTTGTGAATATGTGATAGATAGTAGTGGCTTTTTAATTGTCTGGGGAACAATATCTATCCTAGGCACAGGGGCAGGCCACAAACATCAGAAATTCATGGTTACTTAAGCTGAGCTGGAAAGCAATGCTTATAATGCAAATCAACTTCACAATATTTATACAGATGTGTGCATGAAGCACAGCTAAGTGATTTTAAAGTAATGTAGCAACATAAACAATTCGTTTTGGCAAACATAGCAACATAAACAATTCGTTTTGGCAAATGTTAGAAAATCCTATGCTTTTGCATATAAAAGATACACAGTGCTTATTCAATTGTATTGACCATTAAGTTTTCTCATCATGGGTTAATTCCTCCAAATGCAAGTAAGGTGGATTGCACAGATATCGTTGTTTTTACTGTATCAGCACTCGACGATAAGGCAATCAGTGAAGGTGACGATGATGCATTATAAATCCCTTGATTGCCCATCCTATCAAATTATGCAACTGCATTTGGACTTTAGCACTTGGCGGTACCTCTTTAAGGGTAACCCTATCTTACAGAAATGTTAGTTAGGCACGTCCTGTCTTTCTGTAGCCTAGCCGTAGGTAGAGAAAATCGAACAGCTGGCTTATTAGCAAATTTGTAATGGTTATAGAACAATTCTGGTATACCTAGCTAGTGATGGATCCACTAACAGCAGCAATCTGATTGCTGCAGTTTGATGAATCATATGATATTGATAGTGCTGCTGCTGAGCATTTTTGTGCAGTGAACGTGTGGGAAGGTGGTGTTATTGGAGTTGTTGAGCTGGTGAGACAAACAAAGATCCCCCAAATTAATGAAGCTTAGATGGGATCCACCCCACCCTTGGGGGATCTGATGCTGGGCAAAGCAGCAGAGTGCTACAAAACAGGCTACGTGGCCTTTATATGCTTGTTGGCCAAATTGCCAAATTGCTCCAGGAGTGGACATACTAATCAGGGCAAACACAAGCTTCCATGAGTTGATTGAATCCTGCAGCATACTGAGTCATTCTTCTTCTTTCTTCTTCCAGAAATGATTTTCTTTGTGGAGGTAAGTATCCACTGGCTCCCACTTTGCCTTGCTGCTCTTGATCTTATTGTTGTTATATTATTATCTTCATTCTGCTAACTCCCGAATCTTTGCTGGGATTCTGTAGTACATACTGAACAGCACTGCTTACGTAGAGGGCTGAAAGAACATTAAAGAGAGATTCAATTCAGTTGAATAGGGCAGAAAACATAGAAAAGAAAAGCACTTTCCTACTGAATGAATAACAGAGCTATAACATTGATCCCAATTCAAAACTCATCTCAATTACAAAACTTTACTCTCTCCGTCCCAAACACCGTAGAATATTTCTTTTTTTGTTTGTCCCAAACTCACTGCAACATTTTTTTTTTTTTTGGAAATAATTAAGTATATCTAATTTTTAATTAACATTAATTATATCTTAATTATTTATCTTCTAAAAAATGAAAGGTACAGTACAATGTATATTAAATAGTGTGTGTGAATAAAATTAAATCAGAATATTGAAAATTAAATCACAGTAACCATTCACACCAACCATTTCGTTTCTTCTTCACCAACATACCTAGAATTTCGAAATTAGGGTTAGCAAGCGTAGTCGATGGCGATGGATCCTTCAGCGGGCATCGTCTCATCCCCACCCCCCACGTTCGTCTTGTCCACCGCGCTTGACAAAGAAGTCAGCGTGATTGTCGACGATTTGGAGCTCGATTCTTTGGTTGAGGAGACGCCAGAGGTATGGGATTTAGAGGATGGAGGGCTGCTATTTGAGGATGGATCCAATGCCTACGTGATTGCCGACGACTTGGAGCTCGATTCTTGGGTTGAGGAAACGTCGGAGGTGTGGGATTTAGAGGATGGAGGGCTGCTGTTCGAGGGTGCATCCGCCGCCAATACGGAATCGCGGTTGCTTTTCCGACGGCCACTCACGGTGTTGGAAGAGATGCTACTCATCTACTTGCCCAACTACTTTGATATGTGAGTGTGTTCTAATTTTGGCTTTTAATTTATGCCTGCTTAAAGGATCTGTGGTTGATTTTTCTTTTTTATTTGTGCTTGACTCTGTTGTTGTGCCCACATAATTTCTAATATATGATCGATCTTTTTGAGGGGTTTGTGATATGAATATGCTATGTTAAATGGTAGGGTCTTTCTCTTGGTTGTCATTTTTTTTGCCTTCCAAAATTCTGTCTTTTCTATGGGAAGATAAGAAACTAGTTGATTCTTTAAAAATAATAAATGAAGGGGATGATGATGAGAATATACTAAACAAATTATACGGTTGTTCAACTTATGCCTGACTCAGTTAATACATCAAAAATAAAATAGGCTAAGTACTTACATTAAACAAAAGTAGGCTCTAAAATTTACACTAAACAAAAAGTATGCCCAATTAATTTAAGAACCAACTTCAATTCGTAACATACTCCAAATGTGATTTGCATATTCTGCTTCTCCATGTTCGGTGAGCCATGAAATACTCTGCTTTACTAATTATTGAGATACTTGGAGATTGTTAGGTAGGACATCTCGTCGCTGTAGTGCTTTCTTGCTCATATGTGGAATTCGATATGCATTGTGTCCTTTGATCCTCATAATCTCTAGCATGCACCCCTGTAGATTTAGAAAAACATAGTTAAGGGTTTCGGCTGATAGTTGATCGTATGAACCTCTAACTGCATCCACCAACTGGTCAACTGTGGTGCTTGCCGATTCAATTTGAATGCTCTGAATTGCCCTAAACCATCCAAGATCATTAACATTTAAATCGAGAGATTTAGGGGGCTGGTGCATGAGAACAATATTGAATCCATCGCTGCTTGCAGCAGCACGAAAATCTAGATCGTTGTTCTTAATGTGTGGCTTTGCATTGTCTTATTGGATGAATATTGTTTTGCTTGCATTGGGAGGCCACTTCCATTTGATTGTTGGGATAATCTAAAATTTTCATATGTATAAATGTTAGCATGCAATAATTATGAATGAAAACAACTAAAAAATGCATACCTGATTGATTAGACATTCTTTGATGGCATCCTTTGTGATAGATTCAATTGATTTAGTTTCTAGTGTGCCGGCTGGCTGGTTCTTGCTGGCTCTCTGAGCTGGAACTTGTCGTGTGAATAGGAATATTCCAATTTTTCCATCAAATAAAACCTTTCGGTCCGGGCTGAACACTGGCCGACTAACAACACACATGAACATGATTTTCGTGATGAACTTCTTGTTCTTGCATGCTCTATGTGGCTCGGCTTCACCCGGAATTAAATAAAAACGCCTAGGGTGTGTTTGTTTGAAGGATTTTGGAGAATTTCTACTATTCATCCAATTTTTTTCCCCCAAAAACATCACATCAAACACCTATTTTTCATTTTTTATATTATACTAAAAATCAATTTTACATTCAAAACATCACATCAAACCCTATTTATATCACATCATACAACTATTCAAATTCAAAATTTTTACTATTCAAATCCCAATCCAAAATCCAAACCCCCAAACAAACACACCCCTAGTCTCTCTTGTCAAGTAAAACCACTTTTCGTCAATATGGTTTGTGTTATCCATACATCGAAAAGCCAATTCTTGTTGGATAGTGTCGTAAACTAGATTGTTCAATGCAAACTCAAGCCTTATTAGCTTGTTCGGGGCAGTAAGATCTGGCTTTAAGGCACTTGTATGGGTTCTGAGCAACCCTTTCGAGATCCATCGCCCGACGGTAGATTTTGAACAATTAATGGAAGCTGCTAATCGACGTATTGTACCCCTCATATTTAGGGCTACAGCTTGGATCTGTTCCATATTCGGAACAACCCGTTTTTTAAGCTTTCTTTTAAAGCCGGTTGGTATGATTGCAATTGTTTTCCCTTGTTCTTGTTGCATTTTAGTTGCTTTCCGAATTCTTGTTACA